CTCCCCGACCCACAGCCACAGGAGCCGTACCGGTTTGGCGAGCAGGCGCAGAGTGCCATGAGGAAAGCGCTGGGCCTGCGCTACGCACTGCTTCCCTACCTCTACACGCTCTTCCACGCGGCCCACGTCCGGGGCGAGACCGTGGCCCGGCCCCTCTTCTTGGAGTGAGTGACCCACCCTGAGGCGGGGGGGTGGGGTGGGCGGGGGGTACTGGCTGTGGTCCCTGGAGCTGATGGCAACTGAGTGCCCCCCACCAAGGAGACTCATCTCCAACTGCACCCCGCTGGCCCCAGCTGAGGGCTGGCTGTGTCTGAGGCAGGGAGACCAGGAGGAAGAGTGGTGAGCTGACCGAGTAGCCCAGCCCCAGCCACCATGGCGGTGGGCTCAGCCTGGGACCGGCCAGGGGAAGGACATCTGAGAAACCCAGTCGAGGTCCCCAAACAGGGCTCCGCTCTGTCTCCCTGGCCTGACACAGCTGTAGTGGGAAGACCACCTGGGGCTGGGCTCTCATCACAGTGTAGGAGGCTGGTTTGGGGGCTGAACTCAAGGTGCCGGATCTTGGGGAGAGGCCTTGTCTCTCAGCCTGCTGTGCCCCCGGAATCCCCCTTGTCAACCTGATCACTCCCCATCTCCAAAGAGCTCCACTTCTCCACTCCACGCCACCTGGCTAACAGCTGGGGCTGTGGCCACAGTAGCACTCACAGCACCCCCTGCGCGCAGCCTGAGGCTGGGCCTGAGGAGCCAGGACTGTGCTCCGGCCCTGGGGTATTGACCAGCCTACTGACAAGGAGGACACCCTATAGGACTGCGGGGAACTGCCCCCGGGCTTTCCCAGCCTGGACATCATCTCTCCAGCCTCAGCTTTCTCCGCCAGAGTGGCTGGTGGGTGCAGACCACTGACCTCTCGGGCAGGACTCGGGACTCCCCAGGGGAGCTGGCGACTAGGAAAGACCCGGCTGCTGGCCTGAGGTCAGAGTCTGGCTCCTCTGGAGCAGCAGGGATGAGCTGGGCTGCCAACTGCAAGGTCGGCGTTGGAGACCAGCTGCCCGGCGGGAGAAAGAGGCAGCTTTCTGCTCAAGAGTCGTGGTCTCAGAGACCCACGGGGGTCGCTGGGTCGGCTTCGACTCCAGGGCGGGTGTTGGGATTTTGATGGGAAGTGGAATAGGGTTAGACGGTGAGCGGCAGAACTTCGGTGGGAGGTGGTCTCCGCCAAGCCCGGTTTCAGCTGGCCAGAGCTGGCTTGCTGTGTGGTGCACACAAGCAGGCAGAGGCTGGCTGTGGGTCGCCAGGGAACACATCAGCTAAGGCCAAGGCTGCCTGCTGCCCCAGGCACTGTGCTCCTCTCGGCCCCCAGTCACTTCATCCTTGTCCCCCGCCCCGTAAAGGTTCCCCCAGGACGCCCACACCTGGACTGTGGACCGCCAGCTCCTGTGGGGGGCAGCGCTGCTCATCACCCCAGTGCTGGAGCCCAGCAAGACTGAGGTGACCGGCTACTTCCCCAGGGACGCGTGGTACGACCTGCAGACGGTGAGCTTGCAGACCTGGGGCGGAGTCTCGCCTGGCATGTCTTCCCGTGTGTTCGGAGTGTCCCGCCGGGTCCTGGGCTACCCGTGCAGATGGGGGAGGAGGGGGGCACTGCCAGGGCTTCCCAGGCCCGGTGAGCCCATTTCCCTTCATTGTTCCTGCCCTGCCCTGTCCGCACTCTGGGGCCGGGTCCTGCTCCTGAGGCCATGTGGAGCCCTGGGGTCAGAACATAGCTCCGAGGGCAGGGGTGGCAGCTGGAGGCTAGGTCTTGGCTGACATGACCCCTGCTGCCCCCAGGTGCCAGTGGAGGTCCTGGGCAGCCTCCCACCTCCACCTCCCGCCCCCCGCACCCCGGTCATCCACAGTGAGGGACAGTGGGTGACCCTGCCTGCCCCCCTGGACACCGTCAACGTCCACCTGAGAGCCGGGTATATCCTGCCCCTACAGGTACCATCCCTGGGGCTGCAGGGATGGAGGGTGGCAAGGCCCAGGGATGGGACCGGCTGGAGGCTGCTGACCTCACTTTACCCGGGGACTTCCGTGGGCCTCGGCCTGTGCTGACAGACAGCACTTCCGGTCTGGGGGCAGCATGGGGAGCTGGGGAGAGGCCTTTAGGAGCCTTCAGTCAGCCAGGGCAAAGGCCTGGGCCCTACCTGCCCCCCGAGGGAGCAGAGGGAAGATGGCAGTTGGCATGGGAGGGGCTGACAGTTGGCTGCTGCCCTGTGGTCTCGCTGCTGGGCCTGGATGGCAACACATGCCCCTCTCCTGCAGGGCCCAGCCCTCACTACCACCGAGTCCCGCAAGCAGCCCCTGGCCCTGGTGGTGGCCCTGAGTGGGAGTGGCGAGGCCCACGGGGAGTTGTTCTGGGACGACGGGGAGAGCCTGGGTGTGCTGGAGCGCGGCGACTACACGCTGGTGGCCTTCCAGGCCCAGGACGTGAGTCTGGGTGTGGAGGCCAGGGTGGGGAGGCTGTGCCTGGCCAGGGGCCAAGCACCCTCAGTCAAGCTTCCCACCCAGGGAGCTGCCCGCCGACCCACCTTTGCTGACCCATGTTCTCTCCCCCTGGGTGGGCCAGAACTCTGTCACCAACACGCTGGTGCACGTGAGCAGTGAGGGAGCTGGCCTGCAGCTGCGTGAGGTGACCGTCCTGGGTGTGGCCACAGCCCCGCAGCAGGTCCTTTCCAACGGTGTTCCAGTCGCCAACTTCACCTATAGCCCAGACACCAAGGCAAGGACCCTCTGGGGGCGCTGATCACAGATGACCTGTCCAACGGGGATGGGGCAGGCTTGTCCTGGCGGCTTGTTCCCCAAGCTCACTGAGGTGTGGAGCTCTGAGTGTGGGTCCCACAGGGCAGGTATAGGAGTGCTTCCTGGGGCCAGGCCGCACCACTGCCCCTGCAGCGCCCAGGCCTGCTGTGGACACTGATGGGCCCCTGGGTCCTCCTCCAGGTCCTGGGTGTCCCTGTCCTGCTCTCCGTGGGACAGCAGTTCCGGGTAAGTTGGTCCTGAGTCAGCTGGGCACCCTCTGGAGACGGAGCCTGGTCCTCGGGCCAGCTGCCGGAATGCACCGACCTCTAAGGTTGGGACTTGCTTCTTCGTCTACCTCCTGGCTCTGTGGCCTGTCCACCCCCAACGAGCTGAGTCCCAAGGGCCCTCCATGGGCACCCTGGCCCAGGCCGGATACAAGCAGCCACAGTCAACGGTGATGCCCGGCCGAGCCATCTCCTAACACCCCCACCCCCGTGCTTCTGCCAGATGGCAGCTGGGTGGGAGGGAGCTCACGGGATTGCCTACCAAGAAGGCAGACGTCCACCTTGAGTGCAGTGATTAGAATAAAGGAGCATTTGGTGCCATTGTACCCAGCCTTCTGATGGGGCGAGGGGAGGATGTTGGTGAGACACCACCTGGACCTTGGCTGGCTCCTGGCATCTCGGGGCGTGTCTGTGATGCCATCAGTAGGGAAACTGGATGGAAGTAATGCCAGCCAGCTGGGTGTGGGCCTGCCAGGTCAAGTCCTGCTTCTGATTTACAGGTGGGGGTAGAGTGGGAAGGCCCACCCATGCATCCATGGCCACACACAAAGTTTGTAGGAAAAGTTCATGTTTAATGGGAAAAAACAAAAACTGCAACATATTTACACGTGGGTAAAGACAGCGTGAGTCCCCCAGCTTCTGTTGGGGTGGGCACAGGGATCACACCAACCCCCAGTAACTGAAAGCCACCCCCAAGTGGGGGTGTGAGATGTGCCTCCGGCATCTTCAGCACCACATGGTGGGTCCTCAGATGAGATCAGCAACTAGAGGCAGAGAGAGGCAAGGGTTACGAGCATGCAGGGGGACTCCAGGCGGCCTGGGCTCCGGAGCACAACCCCCCACCCCCCCTGCACCCCGGGCCGGCCCCGGCTAACCGTTCATGGGCATCTCGTCGATCTGGGTGGAATAGTACTGCTCGATGTCCCTCAGGATGCGGATGTCATCGTTCTTCACAAAGTTGATGGCCACGCCCTTGCGGCCATAGCGACCCGACCGCCCGATCCTGCGGGGAGAACGTGGCTCGAGTCGGCCCCTGTCAGGGACGCCCTCCCGGGAGCCGAGGCGGCAGCAAGCCCTACCTGTGGATGTACAGCTCTCTGTTGTTGGGCAGGTCGTAGTTGATGATGAGGGACACTTGAGGGACATCCAGCCCCCGGGCCCAGACGTCTGTGGAAATGAGCACTCGGCTGCAGAGAAAGAAAAGGACATCAGGGTCACCCTGGCCCTGGACAACCCCACTTGCGGGTGGGAGGGTGGGCCAGCCCTGTGGGGTCTGTCTCAGGGTGGCAGCTGATCTCACTGGTAAAGACTGGGCACTCCTGCTCACAGCACAGGGCGAGCAGGGCACCCACAGCACTCGACTCAGCAGGGAGGAGTCAGTTCAGAGCAGGAGCCTCCTGACCAGAGGCAGCCCACATCTCTGCCCAGCCCAGCAGCCAGCAGCCACAGCTCAGGACATGCAGTCCTGGATGTGCTGGGCGGCATGTGCACGCTGCCTTTTGATGACCATCTCTTCTCCGCTCCTCACACATACGGGACAGCGAGGTGTCTCCGTGCCTGGCTCACCTCTGCATTCAGAGGACGCGGACAGGGATGAGCTCGGCAAGAATGCTGCTGCTGTGAGGATTAGTGGTGCCCGTCAGCCTGGCCGAGCGGGGATTGCCAGTGTCTTGCCAGTCATGTGATGATATAACTTGGCAGTGACAGAGGGACACAGGCAATTCTCCCGCCTGGTCTTTGGAGCCCACCCATGTCGATGCCCTCAGTCAGGAGGGGATGTAACCTCTACGGTAACTAACCACCAGGGCAGGGCTCCCGAGGCTGTGGGTCTTCATGGAAGTAGACTGCCTCATCTCTCCAATACTGACCAAGCAGCCAACAGCCCAGCACTTAACTCACTGTGTCAACTGGGCCCCACCTAGGATGGCGGTTAGGGAATTCAGCAGCACGGGCCAAGGGCTCTGGCACAGAGTATATGCCGTCAGGAGGGGGCTTCTGCTGTTTGGAAGCACTGCCCCCATGGCCAGGAGACCCGAAGGGCAAAGGAGGGCAAGCAAGACACGGTGTGTAGCATTAGCAGAGATGTGGGGCACCTGCAACTTGGGGCAAAGCTCCTGAATTTACCATACTTCTTCCTGTAGCTGAAGGCAGCACCAGACCCCACAGCTCAGAGCACAGAAGCGAGAACTGACAGAGGCTCGCCCCTGTGCTCTCTGCGCTGAGGTCCAGGTCCGGGGAGGGAACCCATTATTAGACCAGTCGCCAACAGAGATCCAGGGGCCCCGGGGCGGTGTGCCTGTGGGCCCTGCGGCCAGTCCAATGAGATTTCAAGGAAAGAGACCCCATTGCGCCTCCAACACGCCTTCTCTAAAGCTGGGACTAGAGACAGGTCTAAAGATGGCAGCCATCCCACGTAAGCTGGCCGTCACCTCCCACGCACTAGAAAGTGACTCGCTCAGGTCAGGCGTGGGCAACGGAACTGAGTGCGCAGTACACGGAAGTGCCGCATTGCAGACCTGGCGCCGGACCGGAACTCCTTCATGATGGACTCGCGCTCCTTCTGTGGCATGTCCCCGTGCATCGACGACACCGTGAAGTTGGCCTCCCGCATTTTCTCCGTCAGCCAGTCCACCTACGGAGCAGGGGGCAGAGGCCACTGTGAGCGCAGAGCCAGCCAGGGAGCTGCAGC